TGTAATCACAGTAACTTGAATTTATCTGAATAAATGAAATAAGAATTAAGAGTTTGATCATTATCAGAAAAGCTAAAAATACATTAATTTTTATGTTGTATTAAAATGTTTACTCCAGGAACAATAGTATAAGGAAAAGATGTTATCAATTAAGTTGATTTAAAATTTTTTAGATTTTGATTGACTTACAATTTTTCTTGACGCATTTCTATAGGTTGATACTTCATAAAATAATTTATGCAATTATTGGGATTAAAAAGTTCTGAAAGAGAAGCTGTTACTTTTAGCTACCCTTTCTTCTTTTTATCTAATGCTTATTAAATAGTAGTCACCTTACAGATCAAAACAAACATATTACAAAATTTTCCTAAATTGTTCTTTTCCATGGCTGAAAAACTTGTGACATTTTGCAGGACTACTTAACCTTAAAATTATTATCTATGTCTCTTAATAAAAACCTAAAAAAAAAAAAAAGACTTCATATGTGGTGGTTTCAATGGGACTGTCCCACACAGTGTTAGGCATTTCAATGTGTGGTTCCCAGATGGTAGACAGTTTAGAAAGGATTAGGGGATATGGCCTTGTTGAGGAAGTGTGTCACTGGGGGTGGGCTTTGAGATTTCAAAAGCACAAGCCCAGTCTGTCTCTCTCTGCTTACAATTTGCAGATAAGATGTTAAGCTCTCAGCTACTGCCCCAGCACCATGCCGCCCGTCTGCTGCCATGCTCCCTGCCATGGACTCACCCTCTGAAACTGTGAGCAAGCCCTCTGGTAAATAAATGCTTTCTGCTATGAACTGCCTTGGTCTTGGACATGTTGTCTGTTCACAGCAATACAAAGTAAGACAATAGGTAAGAGCCACACTGGGTAGTTTTTTGTCAACTTGTCCCAAGGTAGAATCATTTTGGAAGAATTGAGAAAAACTTTTTACCTTTTATAGGAAGTCTATCAATCATTTTTTTGATTAATGATTTGTGTGGGAGGACCTAGTCGATTGTATCACCTCTGGGCAGGTGGTCCTGTTATATGTAAAAAAGGAGTGCCAGGAAGCAACACTCTTCCATGACCTCTGTATCAATTTCTGTCTTCAGGTTCCTGCTCTGACGACTTCTCACCATGGACTAAACTCAGAACCATAAGGAATACACCCTTCCCAACCCCAGACTGCTTTTAGTTACAGTTTTATCACATCAACAGAAAGTCAACTAGGACAAAAATAAAGTGCTTAATAATCTCCGTCATTTCATGAAACATAACACAGTTAAAACAAGGTTTTAGCAATTTCTAAAAGAAGTGCCTTTGCAGCAAAGTAAAATACAAATATTCAGATGGCAATACATTTGTATCAAATTTATTTCATGATTAACTTTATTTCAGGATTGGTATAGGTAGGTGTAAAGTAAAGTAAAAGCTTGCTGTGAACACACTCACACGCAGTTTCTTTGTATTTATGTCTATCTTTCTTCCCAGCTGCATGAGATCAGGAGTTTTGTCTGTGTTTATCTGTTTACAATCTGGTATGGTGCAAACATACCAGATTCTCCTCCAGATTGCTCTGGCTACCCAAGAAGTACATTCTAAACCATCTGAAAGACGTAGAAATGCCTCAAATCACTCTATATAAAAACACAGTATTTTAGGATCATGAATAATATTCACTGGAGAAGTTTTCTCCCCCCGCCCCACTATGGTCTTTTGAGACAGGGTTTCTGTGTGTAGCCCTGGTTGTTCTGGAACTACTTTGTAGACCAGGCTGGCCTTGAATTTACATATCTCTGTCTGTCTCCTAAGTGCTGGGGTTAAAGGTGTATACACTGCCATGCTGAGTGAGGAATTACTTTCAATGCATCAGAAATATATGTGTTACATAAATTGCTCACCTTTTTGAAGTGAGTGGCTGACTGAACTTTTCTAACAGGCTGCATAAGAGCATCCCGAACAATGATACTTATATCTGCTCCTGAATAGCCATCCGTCTTCCTCCCAAGTTCTTGGAAGTCTGCTTCTGTGAGGCTGTTCTGAGTGCTGCCCAAGTGCAATTTAAACATGGCTGCACGGGCATGTGCTTCAGGCAAAGGAATATAAATACGTTTCTCAAATCTTAAAAGAAATTATACAAATGGCATTAAATATATATCTTAATTTCAATGTAAAATGTGTATATTTAGAAAACGACAGGCATTTAGTTAGACATTCTCAACTGTACCAAATTAGGGTAAACCACACCAGAGTTAAATACCCATAAGCTTTTCAAAATTTACCAGCCAGTTCGTCCTCCCTCTTCACTGTCCCATCCCTTCCCCGCACCTCCCTTCTACCCTCCTATCCATTCCTCTGTCTCCACTCAGAAGGAGTAAGGCCTCCCATGGGAGTCCACAATGCATGGCAGATAAAGTTGAGGCAGGACCAAGTTCCTCTCCCTTGTATCAAGGCATACCACTACAGGGTAGAGCCAGCTCATGTGTCAGGGACGGGTCCTGGTCCCACTGTGGGGCCCCACAAAAGACCAAGCTACAAAACTGTCACTCAGATGCAGAGGGCCTAGGTCAGTCCAGAGTCTGTGAGCTCCCACAAGCTCAGGGCAGCTGTCTCTGTGGTGGGTTTCCCCATCACGATTTTGATTTCTCTTTGCTAATATAATCCCTCCTCCTTCTCTTCAATTGGACTCCAAGAGCTTGGCCTAGTGCTTGGCTGAAATACTCATGTATTTAAGTGCAAGTATATATATGCACACATTTATATACACATGTCAGGGGAGACTATGATATGCCAAAAACTAAAATTAGAAGCAAAATAATCAGGAAATCTTTCACACTCAACTTTTGGATCATTTCTGTTCTGTTTGCACCTGGAATTTATGGCATAAAGGCAGATCTGTACTCTGAACTTGTGATAAACACACTAATCATTCATTACCATAATGTTTGCATCTGGAATTCATGGCAAAAAGGCAGATCCTACAGATCTGAACTCTGAACTTGTGATGAACAGAGTAATGATTCATAATATAAAACAAAGACTACCATAACTCTCTAAGTTCAAAACAGCAAAACTACTTAAAATCTTAAGGCTAAGCATTACATTGCATAAATGTAATTACATAAAATGTTCTTTTCACTATGAGTTCATTCTGAATAATCTTGTACTATACATTAAAAGTAGTTTGTTAATAATTTTACTTGTTGTGGTGTCTTGAAAGAATATGGTCCCTAAAGGGAGTGGCATTATTAGGTTTGGCCGCATTGGAGGAAAGATGTCACTGTGGAGGCAGGATTTGAAGTTTCACATATGCTCAAGATACTGTCAAGAGTCACAGACCACTTCACGTGGCCTAGAAGATGTAGGACTCTCAGCTATTTCTCTAGTACCATGTCTGTCCACACACTGCCATGTCCCTCCATGAAAACAATGGACTGAACTTCTGAACTGTAAGCAAGCCCCCTCAATAAATGTTTTCCTTAAAGAGTTGCTGTATGGCATAAGAACAGACAGGAGGACCAATGGAACCAAATAGAAGACCCGGATATCAATCCAGACATCTTCGAACACCCGATCTTTGAAAAAGAAGCAAAAAAATATCAAATGGAAAAAAGAAAGCATATTTAACAAGTTGTGCTGTCATAAATGGATATCAACATGTAGAAGAATGAAAATAGACCCATATCTATCACCATGCACAAAACTCAAGTTTAAATGAATCAAAGACCTCAACATAAAGCCAGCCACACTGAACCTTATAGAAGAGAAAGTAGGAAGTACACTTGAACACATTGGCACAGGGAACCACTTCCCAAATATAACCCCAGCAGCACAGACACTGAGAGAAACAATAAATGAGACCTCCTGAAACTGAAAAGCTTCTGTAAAGCAAAGGACACGGTCAACAAGACAAAAAGACAACCTACAGAATGAGAAAAGATCTATACTAACTCCACATCAGACAGAGGTCTGATCTCCAAACTATACAAAGAACTCAAGAAATTGGACACCAAAAGATCACATAATTCAATAAAAAATGGAGTACAGACCTAAACAGAGAACTCTCAACTGAGGAATCTAAAATGACTCAAAGACACTTAAGGAAATGTTCAACATCCTTAGTCAGCAGAGAAATGCAAATCAAAACAACTCTGAGATTCCATCTTATACCTGTAAGAATGGCCAAGATCAAAACCACTGATGACCACTTATGCTGGAGAGGTTGTGGGAAAAAGGGAACACTTCTGCATTGCTGCTGGGAATGCAAGCTGGTACAACCCCCTTGGATGTCAGTGTGGCGATTTCTCAGAAAATTAGGAAACAACCTTCCTCAAGACCCAGTAATACCACTTTTGGGTATATATCCAAAGGATGCTCAATCATGCCACAAGGACATGTGCTCAACTATGTTCATAGCAGCATTGTTTGTCATAGCCAGAACCTGGAAACAATGTAAATGCTCCTCATCTGAAGAATGGATAAGGAAAATAAATATGGTACATTTACACAATGGAGTACTACACCGCAGGAAAAAAATAACAACATCTTGAATTTTGCAGGAAAATGGATGGAGCTAGAAAACATAATTTTGAGTGAGGTAACCAAGACAAAGACAATTATCACATGTACTCACTCATAAGTGGTTTTTAAACATAAAGCAAGGAAAGCCAGCCTACAAACCACAATCCCAGAGAATTTAGACAACAATGTGGACACTAAGAGAGACTTACATAGATACTACATGGGAAGTATAAAAAGACAAGATCTCCTGAGTAAATTGGGAACATTTGGACCTTAGAAGAGGGCTGAAGGGGAGGGGAGAGGCAGGGAGAGGAGCAGAGGAAAATGTAGAGCTCAATAAATATCAATAAAAAATGTATAAAATAAAAATTAAAAAAAAGAGTTGCTGTGGTCATGATGTCTCTTCACAGCAACAAAAAATCTAACGACGACACTTGCCTTCGTAAAATTCAGGCATTTGGAAGCAGAGAGGAAGCAAGGAGGGACAATTTTTTGCAGACTCACTGTGCAATGTTTTAAAAAGTTTCTCTTACCTTGGCATAGGCTTGTCTTTGGAATCAGCCCACTTTCTAAACCTGTCTAACACAGTACCTCTGGTGGTACTGGATGCTAATTTAGTATGCTGTTAAATCAACACATGAAAGTGATACAGTGGCACACACGTATGTGCTCTTTTTTATCACCAATTAAAGAATGCTACAGGGAGCCACAGAGCTGTGAAGAATCTATATACTGTTTCTAGAGCTGGTTTCAATTTTACTTTAAAAAAATGACAGAAAATCTTTTTTTGTTGTTTTTTAACAGGGTTTTTATAGTCTAAACTGGCCTAAAACTTGCTTCATAGCTGAAGACAACCTTAAAAAAATGACAGAAAATCTTTTTTTTTGTTTTTAACAGGGTTTATATAGTCTAAACTGGCCTAAAACTTGCTTCATAGCTGAAGATAACCTTAAGTTCTTAGTTCTCCTGCCTTCTTCTAAGTGCTAGGATTGTAGATGACTGCCACTTCACTCAGTAACAAACCTTGTTTGTTTTCCACTAACCACTGTCTTCCTAGCAAAGCATGGTAGCTCATGCCTGTGAACATAGAACCTATAAGGCTGAAGTAGGAGGGCTGCTGTGAGTTGAAGCTAGCCTTATCTACAGAATAATGAGTAACAGTAACAAATCATTTTCTTATGGACAACAATATGGTGCCCAGTGGCAGGCCAGCCCCTGGACTTCAACACAACTTCAGAAGGCAGTACAGACGACAGACATCAACATGGCTCTCTGATTCCTGCTCCCGCTTACTGTAAAGGGCAAGGCAGCACCTTTTGCAGTGATATCGATGACTGCAGACATTGCCGGGTGGTGGCGGCGCACGCCTTTAATCCCAGCACTTAGGAGGCAGAGGCAGGGGATTTCTGTGAGTTCAAGGTCAGCCTGGTCTACAAAGTGAGTTCTAGGACAGCTAGGACTGTTACTTGAAAAATAAGAAAAGGGATTATGATTCAGTTTTATTTAAAAGGCTCGCCAATTAGAGTTTGACCATGCTTCAGTGACTATATGGACAACAAAAATTGAAATTGGACTTGTTTATTATGGGGGGTGGGGTGGAGTCACAAAGGCTGGGAGACAGACCTCTTGAGAACTGGGAAGTAGGCTGGGTGGTGATGGCACAAGCCTTTAATCCCAGCAGAGGCAGGCAGATATCTGTGAGTTTGAGGCCAGCCTGGTCTACAAGAGTTAGTTCCAGGACAGGCTCTAAAACTACAGCAAAACCCTGTCTTGAGAAACCAAAAAATAAAAATAAAAAAATAAGAACTGGGAAATGAGTGTGATTGGGGTACATTATGTGATTAAATAATCAATAAAACTATTTTGTTTGGAAAAAGAAAAGGAAATCATTTTGCACAACTTTATATGAAAAATTTTCACTGAGATACAGAACTGTTTTTGTCAATTTTGAAGCATCATTCCTCCAAAATTTAATCAAAACTAAAGTTAAGCATAGACACCAAGCAATGTACTTTCCAAAGCGGAAGACTCCAGTATACAGAGTTGTTATCTTCATTACAGCCAGCAAAAACACAAGTCAAGGCCATCCATCCCCAACACAAGGGGAGTAAGAGGGCTAGGATTAACGAATAAAAAGGATTCAAAAGTAAACTATTTTTTAAAAGTTATTAGAATAAATTCCTATAAAGGAAAGTGATATTATCATTTAGTGCTACATTGATGGTTAGAAATAAGATCTTCATTCTATCATCATACCTCCGCCTAATTGCAGAATCCAGAACCCAGGGTATGTTTGTAGCTCCCAGAACTAAAATGCCATCATTGTCCACACCAACTCCTGCATTAAAATACGTAATATTTTAAATAATCATTTGATGCTTTCTGTTTTAAAAGTCTCTGGTGTATACTCACTCATATAACACTGCCATATAAGGACATTTTCATAGACGTATGGGAGGAATTTGGAGTATACTCTCCCAATGTTCCATCTCTCCCCTTCCCATTAGCTCCCTTTGTTCCCTGAGGCACTTTCTTCTACTTTCACGGTATACAGATAAATATAAGTTTACATTTCTCATAAAATCTAGTAACTACACATGAGAAAATATGATAGTCTTCCTGAGACTTAGTTTGTTAAGTTATAGCCATTGTTATGTAAATGATACAATTTCATTCTTTGCATCTAAAAAATTCCATTGTGTACAAGCATGCACACAAGCAAATGCTTTTAATCTACTCTCCATGACATATTTATGTTCCATTAGGAAATCCAGTGCTTTATGTAACACTGAAGTACTTCATCTTAATCTTTACAAACACTACAACTAATCAAGAACCACACCACTCAAGTACCAACCATACTGTCCAAAAAAGCAAATCTCCTAGATTATGGGCAAATACTATTAATATTCTTTTCAAAATATTCTTTCATGACGCTCCTGGTACATGAGTAGAGATATAATCTTTTTACTAATAAAACTGTGAATCCTGCAAGATAATTACAAAAGTGATACATTCATGCAGGGAGTGGTGGTGCATACCTTTACTCTCATGCTTGGGAGGCAGAGCCAAGCACGAGTATCTATGAGGCTAGTTTGGTCTATGTCAGGAGTTAAAAGGCCAGCAAGGGCTACATACTGAGAGCCTGTCTCAAAACAAAAATAAGAAGGGCAATAACAGTATTTTAAGAGAAATTCTACTTAAATTCATTTCTGCTAGTGGTTAAACAAGAATCAGAAGCCACCTTAAAAACCAGTAATACTACCTTGCATTTGAACCAGGAACTCGGTCTTAATTCTCCGTGCAGCTTCACTTTCATTTTCACTTCTTGAACCGCACAAAGAATCAATCTCATCAATGAAGATAATGGAAGGCTTATTCTCTCTGGCAAGCTGGAATAAGTTCTTAACCAGTCTAAAAATAAGAGTAAATAATGCTTGTGGTTTCTAAAGAATACAAAAGGACCACAACAAGGCAATATACCAATATTATAAGATCCACAAAGACTAAAGGCCTAATCACACTGCAGGGGTAAAACACAAATTACAACCAGATACTAGATAATTCACTAAATTATATACACACAGACATATGCACACGTGCATGCAAACACATTTACAAGTACATACATATACACACTAGCTTTTTTCCTACAAAATAAATTCCCAGCTAGGTACTGAGCTTGACAGAGAAATGAACACCTATATTACATTCCTTCCCTGAGTATTTAGCAATGGTATATGGAACCTATTAGTGCACAGACTGACAGAGTGACTGACACAGACACCAAAGTGAAAACTTGCAAAGCACCACTTACTTCTCACTTTCCCCCAGCCACTTAGAGACAAGGTCAGAGGAAGATATTGAGAAAAATGTTGAGTTGTTTGCTTCTGTTGCAACAGCTTTGGCTAAATAGGATTTCCCTGTTCCTGGTGGTCCAAATAACAGGATTCCTCTCCAAGGTGTCCTCTTTCCTATATGTTGTATTAGAAAAATAACACGAGAATTTCAAGACTATTCATTTCAGTTACTGCAGACATTGTCCATACTGAAGAATATTATAAAAGGTCTTCACTTGAAATATCAGTAAGAATAAGAAGATAGTTTAAACCTGATCAGTCTAAGGTATGTCTTAAGTGTATATGACCTGCCTTTTATTGAGACATCAATCAAAAACACATTTACAAAAATACTGACCTCCTAATAGGAAGTTCATTTACTTCCTCACTCATCTGTTCAACCGAAGTATGGAAATCATTATGCATGATACAGAGAGACAAAAGGATCTCTGCTCCCCGGGGAAAGAAAGTTCAGTTAAAGGTCCCGTTCAACACTAGACTAATGCAGGAGAACCACAACCACAGAGCAGGGGCAGCTGTAAAGCCTTGCTTCTAAATATCTGTCACCTATGCAGGATGACAATATGATGGTGTTATTTAGTTTTTGCATCAGTCATTTAGGGATGGTTCTGCTGCAGACAGGAGGTGCCCACTGCAGTTTGTATGTGGATTCTTTTAAAATTCATATTATATAATTCTATGTAGCCTGCTATATTTTAGACAATACTGTAATTTTTGATTAGCCAAATTAAGGCACAGTAAATTAATCCCCCTACTCCTTGTTTCATTTAAGCAGAAGTAGGATTTACAATGATACTTTCTTATATCATTGCCCAATTATTGAAGCCTCTGATTGTCACACTAGCCTATGTTTCCTGGTAAATCAGGAATTTCTTAGAACTCTTAAGACCTCCAGATTGTAGCATATAGTCATCCTCCATATGACAGATTATTCTGCAATGTATACCTGAAATATAGAGACGGAAAGGAACATCTTTGTAAAAATAGTTTACTACATCTAAATGTCAATTCAAGATAATTCACATATTGGAGACATGAATTCACAATGCTCTACCTTAATCACTAATATGTTTGAAATAAAACTGTTAGGAGTCATTTCACCTGTAAATAGATGAGGAAATTTAATAGGCAGAATCACAGCCTCTTTAAGTGCTTCTTTGGCTCCTTCAAGACCAGCAACATCACTCCATTTTACATTTGGTCGCTCTATAACAATGGCACCTACAAAATAATGGGTCATCTTTAAATTGAGAAAGACTAGTGCAGCAAAGTTAGAAAGCAACATTTAAAAAGTACACTGTAAAACTTCAATGTTTTCAGTACTATGACTCTTTGTGAAGCAGTGTGATGAGAAAATTGTTAGAAATCATTAGGAGGCAAGAACTTGGTAATTTACTAGGCAGCTATGGACAAGACTCAGTGCCTAAATTTCTGCTCCCTTATTAGTGAAATGAAAATAGAACTACCTGGCCAAACCACACAGACAGGTTAGCACACGGATCAGGTGACACAGGGTACGAGAGCTGTGTACTGGCCCTGGACATCAAAGGACTCATCCAGTGGGGCTAGCTTACTATTTCTCTTGTTAACACTCGCCATTAGAATACAAGAGAGAATATGCTTCAGTGATTTTAGCTAAAGATAGAAAGACAGGAGACAAAATAAGAGGAAAGACAGAAGGAATGGAAATGAGAGAGAAAGAGTTAATGGAAAAGACAAGCATGCTCTTAAAGACCTGCAATTCTTTCTTGAGATTTGCAAAACTGTCTATCTGGCTTTTAAACAGGATCATTAAAAAAAAGCAGTTAACAACGTTACTTAAAGGAGTGCCTTAGTTTCTCAGAGTAGTGCATTAAAAAACTACAGAAACTGTTACAGTAAGAGTCCAAGAAAAATATTCTGTAATTATCTGAAGAAACCTCTAGCTAGTTTCATCAAAAGCTTTTTCAACTTTCTAGTACACAAGAACTGCTTTACTAAATCACTAAACAGTCTAAGAAGATGAGACGCAGCCACTCTGCTGGGGAATGGCTCAGTCACAAAGTCCACACCATGTACCCAGCACCCATGTCTGTAACTCCAGCTCTGGGGATGTGAAGTGAAGACACAGGAAGATCCATGGGGTTCACTGCCCACCAGTCAAGCTCAGCAGATGAGCTCCAGGTTTAGTAACAGAGCTTGTTGCAAAATCTAAAGAAGAATGATCTAGGATGGTGCTTGAGGTCAACCTCTGGCCTACACACCCACACAGAAACACACACACACAAATATACACAAAAAGATGGCAGGTAGTTGTTTAAACAGAACACAGACACCTTCATATACATGAATCACTAATCACTAAATACTTTTAAACCCAATTTCTTATTAGAAATTACTACCTACGCATCTAAGCCCATACTTAGTAACTTTTCTAAAGTATAAAAATCTATAATTACTAGGCTAAAATAGAATAAAATTAAATTTTGCTTCATAATAGTTCAGTGTGATACAAGAAAGTCAATGTGCATTATATAGGTTCCACTAATATTGGTAACATCAAAAAAAATCTACACCACATGATAGGGCTTCATTCATGAAATGAAGGTAAGTTTTCTTTCTCCATGTATATCATCTGGTTAACACAAGATTTTCATGTAATCTAACACCGCGAGAAACTGGAACAATTCAGTTGGTAAAGGGTTTGCCAAACAAGTGTTGAGAATTGGAGCTAGGATTCCCAGCACCCACGTGCGTGTATGCCTGAATGTGGTTCCTTCATGTGGAGGATAGAGAGGATCTCTGGAACAAGCTGGCCAACTAGACTAGCTCAATCAGTGAGCTCTGGGTTCAGCTGAGACTCTGCCTCAACACGCAAGGCAGAGAATGCTCAAGAACGCAGCAATCACTCGCCACTGGCCTCTATACATACACACATACACAAACCCTTCCCAACATGCTATGAGTTCTGACACACAGGAACAAGTATTTGCGCGCGCACGCGCACACACACCCACACACACACCCTACCCATACTACTAATGACTGAGCCTTTTATTTGAAAAGCCATTAGCTAACATATAAAAATGCAATCGTATCTCAGTAGTTAAAGAAACCAACAATGAAGCCATTTTAGATATGCTGAGTTACCATTAATCAAGCCTCTAGAATTTATTAAGATCTTTTTGCATTATCTTGCTTTCCTTTCCCTGAAAGAAATGACCACTTTCAAGATGGGGACTCAGATTCTGAGAGACTGGGAAAACTTGCCCAAAATCTGAATGTTTTTAAGTGGCAGACCTCAGAGTGGAACTGAGATCTGTAACAGCAGACACGCCATTATGCCACTATACTCCACGACAGCAGGATCAAAGAGCCTTGCCATGTGTAGCAGATAAAAGAGCAAAGTGA